GCGTGCACCTAGGAAGCGGCGCCCGCAGAGTCAGGGTGACACATCGTTCACCACTCCGCCGACAGTTTGGAGTTCAAGATTTTCAGCCTGCAAGTTCAGGGCTCCGGGTACATTTGCAAGGGCGCAATCGCATGACTTGGCATGCATGAGGCATAGATGTCAGCGCAGGCTCGTACACAAGATTCGAAACAGACGAAATGGGAAAACTCCGCTCTCCCGGTCGTGCGCCTTAAGAAGCTCAGGATGGATGAGTTGCTGGGATCTTGGGTTTGAGTCTCGTGACCAAGCCGAGTGGAAGCCACCAAATGTTAAGTAAAGCTTGGGACCTACACAGTGAGATCACACTTTTAACAAAGTGCACACATAGTTGAGACTGGAACTGACTTCAATCCAACGCACCCACCCTTCTGGGAGGGCAACAACACGCAAAACTTGAATCCGGTAAATGAGCATTGCCCTTTCGCATCTTACTCTATGACACGATGACATAACAGCACAGCCGCACTTGGCACATTGTTTGGAAAGCTGTCGGTGTTCTACCTGACACAGTTCCAGAAACATGAATCTGTGCAACCGGCTTTTCAAGATTCCAGCTGTTGCATGTTCGGTCCTCCTGACAGCATGCCGAGATTTCCTGCACCTGCCTCCAACACTGAAGCGCGCAAGGAGTGCGAATTGTCTTCGTGTCAATGGCCAGCTGGGGGTTTGCGATGAGTGGTCTCACACTTTAGAGCCCCAGCACAGATTCACAAATCCCAGTATTGAGTTTCAGGTTGCTTCATCCCAAGGCACGTTGGCAGCTGAAGCTGCCCATTCCGCTCGAACAAAATGGAAATGGAACAAGGTGGCCGTCCTTAGCATCAACACTGCAACACACCATAGCACGATTCGCACTTTGCCGGAAGTAGCCTGGCCCTTAAGTCCCAGCCACGCTTGTGGTGCCGGCAGTCCTGGTAGAGGTTTCCAACGAAGCAGCTGGTCCGAGGGAAGGCGATCCCACAAAGGCACGAAGAGCAGTGGCACAGCGCTGGCCTAGCACAGCTGTCATAGGCTGTCCCAGCTTACCGTGCCACAACGTGCCACGACTGCCGTGCCGACTTAGTCTTGCTTGGACGGTTTTCGCTCAGGCGCCACGGACACGAACAGCAGCAGGCCGCCGAACCAGCCACCGCATCTTATCCTTTCAAATCATCGAGTCGGCAAGACAGAGCGTTACGTGCCCCTGTTGCTCGCCTGCCTGCTGGTGTCAAACCCTCGCTTTGCAAAGCGCGAGTCGGGGTCCATGACTGCTGGCCATAGCGACGTTAAGCCGGACCCAGCCAAGGTTAGGCAGCCATGCTACAACGAATATGATGTAGCCAACTCCACCCCGACCGCTATCTCCAGTTCTGGCTAGGCTGGCTAGACCCGCACCCGGAAGACACCTGCTGTGACGGCATCAGTGCCATATGTCTAGCCGACATGCACGCAAGCAAATGGCATAAGACATGCGACATGCGAGCCATTCAAAATCAAGTTTGCAGAGCCTGGCTCACTTGCAGGTACGAACACAGTAGATGCACAATTGGAAGCAACTTCAAACCACTGTTCTGAAAGCTGACCTGGTGTCCCGCTGGTACATGTCGGGTGGACACGCCATCGGCCCCCAGATTCATCATCCGCTTGAGCCTTGGCTGGCGCCAGGCTGGGTTGATTTCGCACGGCCGTGGGTGAGGTAAGCTCAGTGGGAGGACGAGGCCACCTCTTCCCGAAGTAGCTGGCATTGGCGCTCCTTCTTTGCAAGCCTCAAGTGGCTCAAGGGTTCGTCGAAGTTCCGTCTGACTCCCAGCGCCCGCTGCGATTTCGGAACCTCCTGACTCAGGGCCACATCTCGACTAGCCATGTCCTGCATGCTGTTTTCCTGCGCTTCCGAATGAGACACCTTCAGTCTGTAAGCCCTGCTAAGGGTGGAAGGACGAGATGCTGCAGAGCCTACGATCTGCCCTGCGCTTCCATTGGTAATTTCTTGCTCGGTATGCCGAGTCAGTGTCTGACCATGGTCCTTCTGGTTAGCGCCGTGCTTTGCATCTCCTCCAGCTACCTACCAAGAAACCACGGCTCGGATGCTGTTGCCCCAGGTATGCGCCGCAAAACCTTTTAGCGTGGCTGTGGTTCAGGTTGACTTCGTACCGGACGAGCCGGGGTATCTGAAATATAGGCAATGCATACTGTGGTGGCAGTCAAACCAGCCATACCTGGGACGTCATAAATGCACGGACTAACCGGCAGCAAAAACTTTCGGCCTTCAGCCGTTCCGAAGTGGGATCTCCAGAGCTAATGGGACTGCACATTCCGCGACTGTTCGATTCAAATTCTTAGAGACAGCCCGTTCTCAGGCGTCGCATGTGATCGAACACAGCCTGTCAGGTCCAGGCAAACATGAATACGAAAGCCATCACTCCAAGACTCTAAGACTCGAAAAAGCTGACCTGCGGCGGTGTTCCCCCCGGCGCCAAGAACGGCCGACACTCTGGGTCACCGTTGACAGTCCTGCCACAGCTCTGCATCATGCAAGGCGCTCGGAAGATGTTCCGTTTGTCGGTGCCTACACCCGTGCAGACTGCAATCAAGACTGTAGGCAGCCTGTCCTGGAGCCACCGAGGTATGCGGGGATTATGGAATCGTCCATGTGCTGACGGAGCACCTGCCCCAAGGACAAAGCTCCCAATAAGCAGTGTAAGTCACTTCAAGTGCCGTGGCAACAGCAGCAAGACGATGCCTTAAGTGAATCCTCGACACTGACAATCTGGACAATCGTGGCTGTGTGTGGGCTGACCTGGATCAAGAATCCAGCATGCATCAGAGAGCCTTCTCAGAAAGGCTGGTCGGCAACCGAGAAGCTAGGAGGTGCTTGAGCGTGTTCCACACAGCTGAAAAAGCCGCCGGGGCGTTGATGATGAGCACCTACAGAACAGAAAGCCGGCAAAGAAGCCTCAATTACGCACTCCAATACACATCGTGGCATGCCGAGCTGCTCGGCGGCCCGATCGGGGCACCATATGCATCCTCGATTTCAGGATTATCCCCAAAGCTTTCAGCGTGCGTGGGCTGAAGTTGCGCCAACCTTACAAGCTCAACTCACACAGCCATGCTTCTGATATGCTCTGAGATGCTTTGCCCAGCAATAAAATCCAGCCAGGCAGCTGATTCCTTGCAGGTCTTCCACCAGCGTAGCATCGACGAAGGGTACATTTCTGCGAAGACTGTCCTGCCGAGAGGCCGCTTTGCGAGGCTGTGCAGTCGTTGGATGCAACGCATCTTTGCAGAGCTGCGCCTCATGCCTTTCGCGATCTTCTTACAGCAAGCCACTGACAATGGACAACACCGTGCGAAGGACGGAAGAGACGACAGCGACATGCGGTCCAGTAATCCGCTTACAGCTGCTGCAGGAGTGCAACAAAGGCTTCCTCCTCTACGCCAGCCAACGTTCGCACGCAGTGCACAATGTCTATCTTCCTCGGATGGGCCACATATCTTGGCCAGGTGCCACAACAAATGAATGTGCACTGAAAAGAAGTCTGAGCAGACGTCTGCAGGAGGTCATGCGAGACATTGTCGTGGAGAGACGTCCAGTCAGCACGTCCAATACGCTCCTCGCAGGAACTGGGTCTGGGCGGTCTGGGCGGTCTGGGTGAGTGCGAGGTTGAGCGGAGCGTGTTTTGGCGAATTCGGCTCTCACTCCGAGGCTCCAGAGCTACAGGCTCCCCGTCGAAGCCAATTCCTGCACACGCGTGGGGCCGCGCTGAAAATGGGAACCGCAATTAGCAATTTGGGGTTCGCGCTCCTAAGAATCCACCAGTCGGCCACCACGGCGCAAGGCAGCGCTCGCAGAGCTCCAGATTCCAGTGGGTCAGCGCTCTTCCCACGTCGTTCTCCTGTTGCCACTGCACCTTGAGCTGCTCTCTGCACTTGCCCTGCCCTGCACTTGTCCTGAACCCTGCAGCCTACGCAGCAGCCAGGTCACTGCTTTCCTAAAGCAGTCTTCTGCCTTTTCCACACTGCCACCTTCGCGTAAAAATCCTCAGCTGCGGACGGACTCTGCTGGTTGCTGAGAGCTTGGGTGCTCGCAAAAGCACAAGCCAAAGCCTCACCACCGGCCCTGCGCTGCCGAGCATCGGAGGAGTGTGCAGAAGTCTGTCCGTAGCGCCACGGAACTGAGGTCCGACACGCGCCGGGACAGAGCCTGAACTCCTGGGCTCTGCGGGGCTCTGCCGTCTGCGCAAAACAGCCCAGATCTGCAGAGCAGCACCCCGGCCTGCCCGTTCTTCAGCATCGACTTCAGGCAAGGGAAGAGCACGGAGTGTTTTTTGAGCCTCTCATGGTCGTCCAAGCCAGCGAAAGCTTTGCAATCGGAACAACATGACAAAACCAGACAACGACGGGAAGTCTAGGACCACTGTTCAATCATGTCTTCGCACGATGACAACGCAGATAGCTGGAAGAAAAGATCTCTAGATGATCCAACTTGTCGGCATCGCACTACAGGGATGTAGTGGTGTATCACCACACACGAATGGAGAACAGAAGCCGACCGTAGCCCCAGAAGCTAATGGCGAAGTCCGTGTGTTTGCCACAAAACCACTGCACCGCGTCCCCAGCCCAGAGAAATCAACGCATAGGACCCTTCCCTGCACATTTATGTTCACTCGGTGCTCCAGGCTTCTGCGTGTCCTAGTTCGGAAATGCAGGGGGAACTTGTGATGCTGGCGGCATTTGGCACCCTTAGATGCGAAAGGCGACAACATTGGCTAGGATCAACATCCCCACAATTCCTATAGCCTGGAATCAAACACATCTCCCACATCCCCGCATTCTGCGCAGCTTTGGCCCCATGAACCATGGATGCCGTGATTGGGAGGTGTAGGGATTGCTGATGTTTCGGCATTTCCTGGTTTGAGAACTGTGGGGATGTTTGAGCCTGGCAGCGTTCTCGGAAACTGGATCAAATCAAGAAGAGCGAGACATCACAGCAGCAGTAGTCGTAGCCGTCGTCGTCGTCTTCGGAGTAGCAGCAGCAGCAGCAGCAGCAGCAGCAGCAGCAGCAGCAGCAGGAGTGGTGGTGGTAGTAGTAGTAGCAGTAGTAGTAGTAGCAGTAGTAGTAGTAGTAGTAGTAGTAGTAGTAGGAGCAGCAGCAGCAGCAGTGGTAGTTGGTGGTGGTGGTTCTCATTCAACTCCTTCAGCTCACGTTCCTTCATCGAGCAAAATAACGCCAAACGCATTCAGAATATGTTGGCTTCGTGTGAAGCTTACATGGGAAGACGGTGGCTACCTGCGGCTGTTTCTGTTGTATTTGCGGATGGTACGGGCTTTGCTGGTGGCAAAACGCAACGGGGCCCTCTTCTGTTTTGCTAACAGAGACTCACTTTTTCTGCTTCCTGCGAGGGAAAAAAGAGAAAAGCACATGTATTCAAGCTGTGGAGTTGTCCCAATTCTCCCCAAGCATAAAGAGAGACAGAGGCACTTCGATCTTTGCTATGAGGAGAAAGAAGGGTTATCTGTACTTTTACTACAGATTAAACTGCAGATTGAAAGGAAGCAGCAGGTCTTGTCTTCTTGCCGCTAGTAAACGACAATTGGATACAATTGGGCTTGCTTGTTGTTTGTCTTCCTAGAAAAAGACATTTCTTATGAGACGAAGAGAAGAGCAGCTGTTCTGTTCGTGATGCAAGACGTGAGACAGCTCGACGTACTTCTCCATTATTGTCATTATGGTCAAATGAATTTAGGATATGCAACACATAGTGAGATGTCGCATATGTCTCCCGGGAATAGGAAGATTTGTTTGATTCGTTATAGACACCTTGTGGGAAGCCTCTTAGTCCTGGCCACTGAAAGGGGATGAAGGAGCCGTACCATCTTCTCAATGACATAGGGCCTTTACCACTGCGAGAAGAGTTTTTCTTCTTGGCTGCAAGAACTAGCAACAGATACCAGCAATTCAACAAGCAACTGTCTGCAGCACCTGCCATTCGGGAGGCTTCCCGGAAGGATCTTCCCGCAGCCCGCAGTACTTGTAACGCCCATAGCCCCTTTGCCAGGCCACCTCCTCAGAAAGGCTTTTGCGCGCAATCCAATAGCGACAAAATCCGACAGCAAAGTCCCGGTCAAGCTGGTGGAATCCAAACACCCTCGTTCCGAAGCCATTCCCCAGCAGCGCAGAACACCGTCTATACTACACACACGAAAGGACGAGGCACCGCACTGCTCGGTTCGCTTTCGGTCAACTGGCGTGCTCGCCTGCATGTTTGGATCAGAAGCATGGTTCAACGCGTGGTTTGCCGCGAATCCTTTCCACTAACAGGCCAATGACCAACGTTCTGGCAAACACAGCTCCATCACAACATCTGCGGCATACCGCGATTCCAGCAAGGACGTAGTCACTTATGCTAAAGGAGGGCGGCAAAAGAGAAAACTACTAACATGCTTCATGGTCCGCATTACTGGAAGGTCAGGCAAGGTGGGAAGTGGCTCGGACTCCAATGCATCAATTTGTTCTGTCTTGTGGCCCACTGTGGGCCTTCGGCAGCACAGCCAGGACGGCAGACGAGATCGCGGCACTTCGGGTTCAGATTTCCCGCCGCTGCACTTCCTGCGGCGCAACAAACAGCTAGCAGCCCAGCACCAGCTGATGTCACGTGCAAAGCGATGCCTGGAGGGACTGGCAGGCGTCTCTGCATTCGCGCTGGCAAAGCCCTGTCAGGCATCGGCGAGTTTAAGATGGCTCATTCGAAAGTATGTTGCTTTCACTTCTCCCTCGCGCCTCAGAGGGACGGGGCTCATTGCAAACGCAGCACAGGTCCATGGCGCTCCGAGAGGCTGAGAACCACAAGCGGTTGGTGCACAAACGTGCGCAGGCCATGCCCTTCTAAACTCACCATGAGATCTGAGCTGCCTGAGCTGCCAACTCCGCGTTCAGAGCCTCAACTTCCGCCGAGTCGTTGAAGAAATCGTCGCAACTTAGCAAGGCAAGAAAGCTGCGGTCGGTAGAGCCCGTCCTTTCCTTGGCCCCGGGGATCCAACTCGGATTTGTCTTCCTGGCTTTCAAACGAAATTGGGTAAGAAACAGGCTTGACACGCTGAACACTCACTTCGCACGGGCACCAGAAAGGCAAAGCCGCTGCTTCAACGCATGAAGCCAATTTTCACACTATGACCCGCAAGTAGTCAACTTTCCGCCACTGGCTCTTGTGAGCGCTCTTCAGAAGAATCGCTTGGTCCACCATCTGTCCTGGCCGTCACTCGCTCCATTGTGGGCCATGGCACGGGAGCAAAGGCCGCTTGGTTGAGCCTCTCACTTTCGTGATGCCAACTCAACGCTCAGCACGGGGGGGGGGGGCGGCGGGGGGAGCGGAGGGGGGGGGGGGGGGGGGG